ATTGTTTTACAAACAATTTTATTTTTTAAACATTGTTCACAAGGTTTTTTCTCATTACATTTTATTTTTTTTTTGTCGACAAGACAAACAAGCTGATAAAACATTTAACTTTTTCATTGTTTATATATTTTTTTTTTTAATTAAACGATTCTTTGTCTTTTATTTATTTTTTTTTTTAATCATTAAAATTTAATATTTTATTGGTTCATCATTTAATGAATGAAATTACTAAATCAAGTAAATCAAAAATCTTAAAAAATTTTTTTATTGGTGAATGATATTGCTTAATCGAGTAAAAGTTTTTTAATAAAATTCTAAATTCGAATTCAAATCAAAATTTTTATCTAGAACCAATCAAATAAATTAATTTTAAAAAAAATATAAAAACACTAATTTACTTTGTTCTACATAAATAAATCTACATAAAAAAAAAAAACAATAGAAGTAAAAATGCTATTTTCAGAATTCTCTCAACGATTTAACGACTTTTTTAAGGAGTAAATATCATTTTTATTTTTAAAATTATTATGCTAATTTAATTAACTTTTTTTTTAAAACAAATAGCATGTCTGGAGGAAATAATACTACTAAAAAACAACTCATTGAAAAAATTGATGAATTAACAACAACGTTCGAAGAACAAAAAAATGAAATGAAAAAAATGTTCGAGAAACAAAAAAATGAAATGAAAAAAACCCATACTAACGAAATCAGTCTTTACCGTGAAATAATCAACAAAAATGAAAAAGAAATTGAAAACTTAATATCTACAAAAACAACTAAAATTGCAAATTTAATGTCTATTATTGATAATCATGCTAAAGAAATCGAACGAATCGATGAAATGAGAAAAAAACACGAATACGAATACAATGAAAGATTGAAAGAAAAAGATAAAATTCATAAACGTGAAAAGGAAGAAAGAGAAAGAACATATAAACGGGAAACTGATCTCTTGCAACAAACCATCAATCGTTTAGAACAAACTGTTAATAATTTACAAAACCAACTTAGTGAAAATATTTCTTCTAGATATTAATGAAATAATATTTGTTTTTTTTTTCTTTTTGGACTCGATTCTAAAAGTTTTTTTTTTTAATTTAATTAATTTATTAAAACATATTTAATATTATTAACAAAAATAAATAAAAAATTTATTGAATATATTTTAAAACTGTACTTTATTTATCCAAAAAAAAATTACATTATATTTAATAAAATTAATCTTTTTTTATATCCATATTATCATCAGAATCTTCATCGTCATATTCACTATCATTTAAATCTAAACCTGTGATACT